TATGAATCGCTTGGTGTTGATGCATCAGGCATATAGTCGGTGTCCGAATGACAGAGGCACGATACTACAGACGTGGAGAGAAGACGGTACAGTACAGCCCGCGGCCAGCCGGGACCAGGGCGCGCGCTCGCCCTCTGGCGGAGCGTGCCGCCGTGGGCGTGGACTCCGTGACACCGTCGTGCGAGCCCAGGTGCTGTCTCAGTCACTTAGCAAGCAGTTTTAAAGGACGCTGCTGTAAGTAACGCCACCTTCTCTTTTATGCGGTTCCTAAAAACATGAATCGGGATCACCTCTGGGGCCCTGCCGCAGTCTGTTGCGATAATAAAATGTTCTCTCTCGTGTCGTAGGGCGGCGTCCGCTTGGATCTTTGGGAAGAAAGCAGGTAGGCGGCTGTGTTGCCTTTTCAGCACCTGTTTGCTTTTGTTGTCAGTAATGGTGACCGCATGACGCCGCAGTATGGATCGAGGTAGCGCGCACGGCATCATAGTCTGATCCTACAGGATCATATAAGTTGCTTTGAGGCAGCGGCGGTTTAATTTTCTCAGCTTTTCCGTATTTTCCGAGACTAATTTCTGCAAAGGAACCTTTTAGGAAAGGTGACATCATCCGGGATCAAGCGGGCTGCTGTCCATTATTGAGGCGGCGTTTCGATTAAACGCCCCGCAGAGCTAAACGATATTTTCAAAAAGGTTTAAAACGTGTATCTCCTGACTTCACCCTCCGATTCAGTCCGCTTTTCAGTGCTCAGGCGGCGCAAATTCCGGATCTCTGTTCAGTTCAGATTTCGGAAGAACGATGTGATTGGTTGCGTTATGTTTTTATTCTATTTTGATAGACGTTATTATCATCTTGGATTACTGATAATTAAGGTTATCGTTTATTGTATGTTTTTCCCACTGCCTATAAACGACAGTTACACTTTTATATTAATCATATGCCTTATCCCTCCGGTGTGGATACTGTTGGTTTGAGCTAGAAGTAAACAAGACAGTGTCGAGAAATCGACTGTCGTGGCTCCTGGTGTCCTGTCTGAGGACGGAGGAGAAGTTATATTTCACTGTAAGGTGTCAGTCGGAGAGCATTCTGTGCCCGTTAGAATTCATGACGACACTGCCAAACGTGACGAAGCAAATGAACTGTAATGTTACAAAATGTTATCAACTCGCTTATTAAAAATGACAAATTCTGAAGGGGAAAATGTACCAGTATCAAACAGCATGAGAAGAGATCACCCAGTTATGATTTCATTTGGAGGTCAGCAGCTATTTGTGTCCTAGAAATAATGTTAGACCGCAGCGGCCAGCAATGTACATGTATGGTTGTGTACAGGTAGAGAACACGGGAAAGCCCATAGAAGGGAGCAGGAGCTGTGAAGAGCCCTCTTGAGGGACACGGCTACTGTTTACACACGCATGACGTCATCGGTCCATTTCACAGGCTGTCTTCTAATCGTCAACGTATCTGAAAGGGAGAATGTGAGGGCACTTTCTGATCAATGCTGCAGCAGCAAACTGGTGCTTCACGTCCACGTTCAGACCCGCTGGGGCGGGAGGGAACGAGGAGCAGCAGCACGCCTCTGTAGCGGAGCTAGTTTGGACAGGGTGACGTCATCGCCCCCTCCCCCCTCCCGGGCCTCAGCTGGTTCCCTGTGGCGTTACCTCCCGGAGACCCGGGTTCGCACCCAGGTGTTGCGGGACGAGTCGGCGGGGTGGTGGAGTGTGGACAACATTGGCCGTGTTGAGGTTCTGGCCTCGCTGTGCAGTGTTTCATCCACAGCTGCAGCCACGTGCGCCTGCAGGGACCTCTGGTGTAGGCATGCACCCTGCCCAAGGGTCCGAGCAGGGAGCCCTGGCCACACTGCGGCCTTCCGGGGCGCGACCGTCCGGAGTCCCCGCTGCTGCGGCGCCTGCAGGTCCAGTCTCCAGCGGCTCTGCTCCTGCGGCACGGTGCCCTGGTGCCTTGTTTAGTTTTCGGGTGTGATCACCGACGCGCTGTTGTTGGAAGAGCAGGATTCAATCTCCAGTGGTATCCAGGTTATTCATTCTCATTGTCGAGGCTGTTAATACACGGAAACCATTTCTGCTGCCTCGGCGTCGATAGCGCTGTTGTTCTGCAGGGGAGGACTGGTTCATTTGCTTAATGGAAATGTGGAATTTGCATGCCCTGGCCCCGGGATGTGTAATATTCTCTAAAGCCCAGCCCCTACGTGTTGGCGTGCAATACTCCTGTTTACAAATTAAAGCGTTTTTTTATGTCAAATAGCTTTTTACAGCTGTTCTTTTTAAGAATGTCTTGGTTCATTCATTGTTGTCATCAAAGAAATGCGAAATGGTATGCATCTATTAAAATGATGACAATCGGCAACTGGAATTTCTTAAATGAAGAAAACCTTGTCCCATGTAGAATCATTGTGAGACATATAACTTAGCTTGGTTCAGAAAACAATCTAAAAATTGTTAAAAATTTTACTGTACAGTAAGTAACAGTAATTGTTGATAATTGTTAAAAAAGTGACATTTTTAGCAGTATGTTTTTTCAGGATTACAAAACGGCTGCTCGAACCGGTATTGGATGGCCTGTGCAGATATCCACAGGAAGTCACACAAATTCTCACTTTCTTGTGTTTTGCAAGAGCTATACTGTGTCCTGATCACACCACAGTGTCAGTGTTTATACTGTAGCTAAAACTAAGGTCTGAGTGGGGAGTTGTCCCAGCGCTCGTTGGTAAAGGAACAAATAAATATGAATTCCTCTCTGAAGAGGAGGAGTCAGCCGCCTGAGGAAGGCTCGACGGCCAAAACACTGTTTATTTACCCCTCCTCTTCCAGATTTACTGGTTCCTTCGATGAAAACTGAACATCGTTCGGAAAGTCCGATTTTGGCTCCTGTCACACTGCAGGTTTGTGACCAGACACCCCCTTTCAGTCTGGAGGCGACTCGGGGCTCGCCCAGTGCACCCCGAAAGAGTGCCGGGCAAGCAGGGAGGGAGAGGGTGGGGAGGGCAAGCTGATTTTCCCCAAACAGAAACCGAAAATGTACAAACTGAAACAGTGCAGTGATCGCTGTGTAAAGACGTCCCATATCGAAACTATGGAATGAACTCCAGTGCTGGCTGCTGGAGGGGTTTGCTTTGAGAAGCAACAGTGAGCTGTGCAGCAGGCTTCTATGTGCTTTTTTTTCTTTCAATGACAAAACCTGCTTTGCTTGCCAGTGCATGATGTCACCTCTGCTCTCTAAAGGAAGTTGGAGTTTTAAGGACCCAGAGATGAAGGCACGGCGCAGCACAGCAAGCGAGTCTTAGCCAAGATCAAGTTTATATTTACTTTATTCATTAATTTAGGATTCACATAAACAGGATTTCAGGTCTCTTTTAAAAGGACATGTGTTCTGGAAAGCTGGGGTCAAGAATTGCAAAGTGAATATGAACTTGTGCTGGTCACCAGTTGTGAGCACTTTTCCTGGTGGTGATCTCTGTGGTTAAGCCAGGCCCCTTGGGTTTTTCAAGTGCGAAGTTAAAATGTAACCAGTACTTGCCGCCTTTTCTGTGGAGATCTGTTGCCTTCATTTGAATGCCTGTCTTGTCCCTCTGCTTGTTTTTCCAGAGGGATCATCTTCACCTTTTCCAGAGTAATAAGTCATTGCCGGTGCTGGCCTTTCACAGTAAGGTAGCCTCGTACTGTCCCTTCTGCTTTCATCTGCTACTGTGAATGTCTGGCGTGAGGCCTGTGTTCAGTAGCAGACTGGGAACATTCTGAATTAATTTGAATTACCGGGAATGTGAATATCACACTTTCTGGGGGGGTGTTTAATGTTCTGTATTACTGATCTGCTATTGGGGGGGGTGGAAATGGCAACATTTTTATATTCATTTACCCTACCTTTCCTTCTTACTGGCCGCTTCATAAAACATGTTGCTTTTTGCAGAAATCGAGACGCAGGGTTTTTGTTTGACTTGGATACACCATGAGCGGCGAAGCAGGAGAATCCTGTAAAAGCAATTCCTCCCAGCTCCACCCCAGCGAAGCAGAAGAAAGAGTTCTCTCAGATATGGATATAAGGTACAGAAAAATAAGAGCTTTTTTCTTTCGTCCAGGGCTGTTCGATATGATTTGATGAGCTTTTAAATGGCATAAGTTCCTTATTTGGAAAGATGACTGTTTTGGAAACAAAATAATACACCTTTTTCAAAGATTACTAAGATTTTCTGCACCGGATGTGAATCTGTGTGTGATCACTTCATGACGCTCGGTGATGAAGACTGAGCCGACTGCACATGAGATGACTCTACCCATTTGTCCCATGAGCTCATTAAGAAAACTGCGAGGCTTGGCTTCTGTCCAGACACCGATGTCTTGTGGTACAGCCTGGACTTAAACTGGCAACCTCCAGCCTATGGGTCACCTCTTACCCTCTCTGATCGGTGACTTGCAGGATGAGGTGGTCGAGAGCCAACCACAGAGGGGTATTTTGGAGAATAATTCTGGTCTTCTCTTTTCTCAGTGCTGCTCAGCACATTGGGCGACAGCTAGCAGTCATCGGCGACGAGCTCAATCAGCGTTATAGTGGGCACTTCCTAAGTGTTCTGTTGCACCCCACGCCCACAGCCGTGCATGTTGGACGGCCTTCGAGGTGTGTGAACTCCGAGTTTCAAAGAAATGGTTTGTAGGTTTACATCAAAAAGAAAAACTCAGACCGGCGATTCCGTGCCTTTGAGATCAGAACCCTCATAGCGGGAGGGTCTTCTCCAGTTTGATTCTGTTCCTGGGAGCCCATCTGTATGGTTTATTTGCACCTGTCAATTCAGAATCCGTTCCGGAACTTGTGCGCTCGAGGAAAGGGCGGCTTTGCCGCTTTGCCTGTGCTCGTAGAATAGAAGATGGATTTGCATGGATGCAATCGGAACATATCCGGAATAATATTCTGAAATTTCACTGTAAGCAGTCCAGTTTCACAGTGCTTCCAAAGCTAGGAATGTAAGAGAAACCTCGTCTTTGTTGTTCCACCCAAGACGGATATCGGAGACAAATAGGATAGATGGAGGGAGAAGTCAAAATGAAGGTTTACGTTGGGAGCAAACACAAAGGGGGAACCAAAGAGAGAAATGAAACTAGTGATCAGGTAATTAAAGGCTAGTATCTCAGAAGATGAAACCGTAGCGGGAACTGGAACTGTCGAAACATGGCTAACAGGGCATGGTGGGGAGGAGTGTGACGCTAGCAGATACACACTGTTCTGGAGGGCTGTTTGTATACAACGTTTTTTGTGTTTATAGTTTCCGTTTGCTACCTGCATGAAAAATGCTCTCTACTGCAGCTGAGCTGTTGGTGCATTAGTATACTTGGCAATAGTGCTCTTCAAGCAAATCATGTTGCAACAAACCTACTGCTCTCCGTCTACAGATAAAACAAAAGGTTGTGTCAGGACACTGCTCTGAAGCAGTGCCTGACCCTGCATCCCTTTCCATTCTGCTTTTTCCCCAAATACTGCTTCCTCTCTCCTGGACTGGACTGGAGAGCCACCCTGCAAGCACAGAGTTTCTTCCGATCTCTCCTTCAGTGAGCGGAAACAGTGCAGAGCATCAAAAATGATTTTAAAGTGCTTGTAGTCATAAGTTGCACAACTCAAACAGATATTCTTACTGGAGTGTGAGCCAGGACCTCACCCTGGACAGGACACCAGTCCATCAGAGCTTGCACATGATTGTGTTGCTGATGAGCATGTCCTTGAGAAGCTAAGGAAACCGAAGCACCAGGACCAGAAATCCACACAATCGGGCCTCCCAGGCCAGAATCAAACCCAGGGCCCAAGAGTACTTACAGCCTGTGAATAAATCTCGACTGTTCAGTCATAGTGACATCTACAATGGGGCGTATCTCACCCTGCTTCAAATGTTTTATGCTTTTGAGGTTGCAAAAGTATCTTTCAGTTGCGTTTATAGAATAAATCAAGGTCTTGACCCATTGCAATTGTTAAAATTGATTCATTTTAGAAGATCGCCTTTTGGCTTCCATGTGGGCGCAAGATCCGTGTTCGGAATGATCAAAAGGTGCCTGATTTCGGGAGCAGAGGCTCCAGCAGCCCAGAGACGCAGCCGATGGAGGAGCTGGGTGAGAGTGCTGGTCATCTTGACCCTCGCGTACATTCAAAAGGCACAGCAGTGACGTTTAATTTTGGGGCACTTGGTCCCGATGTCGTTTCAAAACGATGTCGTCATGCAAAGCGATGTTTTTTACTACTGTGCCAAGAGAAGGGAGAAGGAGAAACAAAACAAGCGATCCGGTAATTAAGTGCTCTTGCCTAGAGGCTGGTATCGGGGAAAAACAAATTACAGGAGATGCAGGATACAACCGGAACTGGAATCGCAGAAACCTGGTTAAGGGCACACGAGGGAGAGGAGTGTAGCAGTAATGGACGCGCTGTCCTGGAGGGAGCAGGGGGTGTGTGCCGGGATGGAGCAGGCCTGGCTCCCCACTGTTGTTCACTCTTCTTTCGTCCTGGGTCGCAGGTCTCCCACTTCCACCCCAGCCACGCCTGCAGCGGCTGGGCCGCGGGGGCGCTCGCCGTGATCCTGCTGGCCGCGGCCGTCTGCATTGAGCTCTAGAGGGCCGGGCGGGGAGGACACTTGCACTGAAGAGTCACAAGCAGGTCTGTGACTGACACACTTTGGAACAGCATTATCGGCAAGGAGGTTAATGCTTTTATTTAAATTTGACTTCATTCCTTTATTTTCCTTTTTGTGTATTAAAATTCCAAGTGCTGGGACACTGCGTTTTCTAAATCTTTGCAAGAAAATGAGTTTTCTGAAAGGCTGCTACTGGTTAACAGTCTACGTAATTATAATTCTGGTTCACTGGCTGAAAGATTTTTTTTTTAGATATATTTGTATCTTTGTGTGACCCTTATGTATTTTATGGTGTCTGTAGTAAAATTAAAAGGAATGCAGGACTTCCTTCTGTAAAGCTAAACTAAATTTTATATAACTTTAATAAAAAAAACACATTCTAATGTCTGCTTTTGGAATTTCTGGATATTTTTGCGTTTATACTTCCTGCACCAAACCATTTCATTTTCTTAGCATCTTCTAGTTGTGCAGATTTCCATGAGAAAATTACTCAAGTTAAAAATAAAATGGGACATTGAGAGCAGGGTAGATTTCTCTGGATCTCTGGTAAAAGCTATTTTCTTAGTTTTAATTAAAGAATAGTTTCATTTCTCTTTAAACAATAAAGCTATAGTCACTGAAAGAGCTAAGCAGGCTCTTTCCTACATGAAGCACGAGTCTGTTTACTTTAGACCATGCGTTTGCTTGACCCTTTGTGTGCGGAAAGGTGGAACACATCTGTCACTTCCTCCTGGACAGAGTTCAAGTTGTTCTGGGGTGAGAAACGCAAGAGAGTTTGCAGAGTCTGTTTATGGATGGGAGCCCTGAATGTCCATGCGAGGTGCAAATGTCAGATAATTAAAAGTATATTGCCGAGTCTCGGACAGTTTTGTGTTGCATTAAATACCACTTGCTGCACCATCATTATTTTAACAGTCACCTTCTAATAAAGCAGTGCTAAAGGTAGCCAAAGAACAGCACGCACACACACTGTATTTTTACCCAGCTCACTGAACTGCAACTAATTGGAATTAAGCAATTTAAACCAGAACAACGGGGAAGGAATTTGTAAAGAATGCACATCAAAGAAAACAAAAAACAGCATTCCAAGCAACCTGGAGCTTTTCTAAGAACAGCTTTTATATACAAGAAACTAATACTATTATTAATTCATTTAGCAATGATCATAAAACTTAACATGGTAAAATGTAATTAAATGACACCCATCGGGGACCTACGCTTGTAGATCCTTTTCAAGAGGATTGGAGGATTTGGAAAAAAAACAAAACAAAACCGATCCGGGTAAAGGAAAGGAGCTCTCCCAGTGTCGGGCGGGAAGGTCACATTACAACATCGATGTGCCTGTAACCCTGCCAGGCTTTCAGATTGCACTTCTGCAGCGCAGATCCCAGCTGCCTTCCCGGGCCCACTTCGTACGTCTCGGGGAACTCGGCGCCCTGCCTCCTCTCGTAGATGGCGTGCACCGTCTGCTCCCACTTGACCGGGGACACCAGCTGCTTCAGCAGCAGGCGCCGGATGTGCTGGCCGTGCATGTACTTCTTGGCATCGACGTTGGAGTACACGGATATCTCCGGCTTCCTTATTTCCACTTTCTTCAAGACCTCCCTCAGGGGCTCGACGGCCGGCTCCATCAGCGCGGTGTGAAACGCGCCGCTTACAGGCAGCAGCTTTGTGCGCAGGAAGCTGAACTTCCTCGAATTCTTCTGCAAGAATTCCAGTGCCTGGAAAGAAGAAAAAGTAGTCTCTAAAACAAAAAAAGAGTTTCAATCTTTGGCTGGATGTTCAAAAGAGCCTGCCAAACAAACAACAGGTCAATAACCGCTGTGGCTGGCCTGATAGTGCTCTCACAAACGTGGAACGTTCCAGACAGGGAAATTCCTCACATTTTTTGCAAAGGAACTTCCTTCCACATTTAAGAAGTTCAGGGTTGTATGTGTTGATGCAAGGAATCAACAAGTAACATATGTAGTAATGTTTTGCACATACAGTGGTGCTAGAACATTTGTGAACCCTTTAGAATTTTCTGAATTTCTGCATTAATTTGACCTAAAATGTGATCAGATCTTCACCTAAGTCATAACGATAGATAAAGAGAACCCAATAAAACAAATAACACACAAAAAGGATATAGTTTTTCATTCATTTATTGATCAAACTGATCCAACATTAAATGTCTTTGTCGGAAAAAGCATGTGAACCTCTAGGATTATCAGTTCAGTTAAGGGGATAATTAGAGTCAGGAGTGTCAATCAATGGGATGAGTAAGTTTGGGTGGTCCTGCCCTATTTAAAAAACATAAACCTGAGCCTTCACTACCAAAGTCTGGTCTTCACCACGCTGGTTTGTGAACGCATGCCATGCCTCGATCAAAGGAGATTTCTGAGAACCCCAGAAAAAGAGCTTCCGATGCTCATCAGGCTGGAAAAGATTACAAAATGATTTCTAAAGACTTTGGGCTTCACCACTCCACTGTCAGCAGATAGTGTACAACTGGAGAAAATTCAACACCACTGTCACTCTCCCCAGGAGTGGTCGTCCAACAAAAATCACTCCAAGAGCAAGACGTATAATATTCCGGGAGATCACGAAGAACCCCAGGGCAACGTCTAAGGATCTGCAGTCCTCTCTTGCTCTGGCTAACGACAGTGTTCACGAGTCCACCATCAGGCAAACACTGAACAAGAAGAGTGTGCATGGGAGGATAGCAAGGAAGAGGCCACTACTCTCCAAGAAGGACATTGCTGCCCGTCTAAAGTTTGCTAAAGACCACCTGGATAAGCCAGAAGACTACTAGAAGAATGTTCTGTGGACAGATGAGTCGAAAATAGAACTTTTTGGCTTAAATGAGAAACGCTGTTTGGCGAAAACCAAACGCTGTATTCCAACATAAGAAGCTCATCCCAGCCGTGAAACACGGTGGGGGCAGGATCATTGTGAGGGGCTGTTTTGTTGCCAAAGGACCCAGATGGTTTGCCACCATTGAGGGAACTATGAATTCTGGATTCTACCAGCATTCTACAGGAGAATGTCAGGGTATCCGTCTGTGAACTGAAGCTCAACAGAATGTGGGTCTTGCAGCAAGACAACGACCCTAAACACACAAGTCACTCTACCAAAGAATGGTTGAGCAGAAGAAATTTCACGTTTTGGGATGGCCGAGTCAAAGTCCAGACCTTAATCCAATAGAAATGTGGCAGGACCTGAAGTGGGGAGTTCATGCAAGAAAGCCCCCCAGCATCACTGAGCTGAAGCAGTTCTGTAAGGAGGAATGGGCTAAAATTCCTCTAAGCCGATGTGCAGGACGGATCAACAGTTACTGTAAACTTTTGGTTGAACTCACCAGTTACTGAAAGCATAGGTTCACATACTTTTTCCGACAAAGAATGTTGGATCATTTTGATCAATATATGAATGAAAATGTATATCCTTTTGTGAGTTTTATTGGGTTCTCTTTATCTATTTTTATGACTTAGATAAAGATCTGACCACATTTTAGGTCAAATTTATGCAGAAATTCAGAAAATTCCAAAGGGTTCACAAACTTCCTAGCACCACTACGTCTATAGAAGTTACCAAGCTGTCCCATGTATTATACAGAAGAACGTGTTCAGAGGTTGCACAGGGGTCAGGAGGAACACGACATGCTGTGAAGACATGAGAGGACGGTGAGGTACAGGGGGGAGTGCTTCAATCTCCCGACTCAAAACCGGAAGGTTGTGGGTTCAAATCCCAGGTGAGAAACTGCTGCGGCTCAGATGAGTAAAGTGCCTCATGCTCATGCTGCTTCAGCAGATGCAAAGTTGCGTCAGTGGGTCATCACGGTAAATGAGGATTTATTTTTTCTTGACTGGTTGAATAAAACATAAAATGACGCGCGCATCAGTGATCAAGTTCAGGACTGTGCATATTAAATTCACAAGCCTTTTCCTGTCTTTTCACACAATCGGCTTGCAGGAGGAAACCACCTTCCACTTCTGTCTGAAACCTCAAGGCCATTTTACCTGCAATCTACTTCATCATTGACCTTGAATAATAAGATTACGAGCAATTTGACGTTGAATCCCAATACATGACAGAATTTACTACATAATCACTTCTCACCTGAAGCTTTGTGGCAGACGCCTATCTGCACGCTTTCCTAAAAGACAGTCTTTTCGTCAAAATGCTGTACCTGGAGATGCCCTGCGATCACTCTGCCATCTGGGAAAAGGTAGCTGGAAATGGAGCACACCGGGCTCTCTATCCCCAGACTCTCACAGTGCTCCCGGGCCATCAGACAGGCGTAGCCGTATTTAGCCTGCGCCTTCCCAAGGACCGCCATCATTCCACTCGGGATCCTGTCCGACGCCTCCTGCATGGCCTCGGCGCGGACCTTTACTGCGTACAGAGCTGCAGCGAGGGAGAAAGAAATCAGCAATCCGGAAATAACGCACAGTTATTAAAACCGAGTCAACACACAGCAATGTTTCAGCTGACGAGTGGACCGAAATGGCCACTCTGCCGTTTGTTCAACAGAATACAACTGAGCTCAACCAAAGGGTAACCCTAGCTGTTAAATCTTAAAGACTGCGAGGACAAAGTCTGTAAAGAAAATGGTTTTTAAGAGGTCACCTCCACAGGTTAGGTTACGAGGTTAGGTTACGAGGAAGCATAGAGGGGAACATCTCACCTTTAAATAATAAAGGCAGACTTTTTTTGCAGAATTGTGACTGAACTCCATTCTGTTCTTTTTAGCATTTAAATTATTTCAACAGCCTCATTCCTCCTCTGTTCATGCTATTTTTAATTACAGACAAATAATCCACATTCTAAATGCCCCTTGTACTGTATACAAGTTAGTCATTATTTACCTAAGGCCTCTGTAACAACAGATTCGAAGGTTTTATCCCAGTATTGAAAATTCCTTGTTTCTAAACAATAACACAAATCTGTCCACAATGACTTACTTTATCTGTGCTGATAAGGTACTGATTTAAAGTAAGCTACCCTTTGACCAGCTGAGACCTGGCTTGTATTGTAACCTTCCTGACTATAGCAACCAATGCTGTGTCCATAATAACATCTCCAAAAACTACAAGACAGAGGCATTTCTCCTATAAATCGCAGGCCTACGAACATGCACACACAGATCAAAAAAAGAGAGCAGTTGGTACTCTTGATGCAAAATGTGACTACACAACATCAGTGTTGCAGCAATGCAACATTCATACAGACAGAACACTAATCAGAACCAGACCTATCCTGTAGAGCTGGAAAACCCAGCCAGAGCCGTCGCAGGTAGCCTTCTGGTAGAGTTCTGACCCACGTCTCTCAAAAAACCCATATTCAAAGCACAAGCTGTGCATCAATGAAGCAGAAACCAAAAAAATGTAGTGCTGCAAGCTGTATTGCATTTATTGCAGCCATTCTTTTACAACAGCCATTTTTTACTTCAAATCTACAAATGCTCGTAGAGTGTTTTCTTAAAACTGTTAGAAAAAACAACGTTTAGTAAAACACTGTTCCAAAGAACGCCGAAGAATAAGGATATGTTGACCAATCCAATCAAAGATCTAGGGATCTTGCTTATTAAAGTTATGTTAAGTGAGAAAAGGAATGTTTCCGCTCGTTTCCCATAGCACTGCGAGTCGGACTCCCCGCGGTGTTATGGAAAGTAGCCTCAGGCTGTAGCTGTGTAACTCGGCTTTCCCGCACTGCGGATTACCACTGTTTGGGAGCCCCCGAGGAAAAGGAAGCAAGCTGAGCCACATGCACTGCAACCAACCAGGAGCCGCGCTCGTCTGCTTCAGGGGTCTCCAGCCCACCGCGCTCCTGCCCGGGAGGGGTTCACGGTACGACCCAGTGGCCGAGCCTCGATTCCGCGGCCAGAGCTCCACGCCGCACACGGCGAGCTCCAACCCCCCCATCCTCTCGTTGCTCTTACCTTCGGCGAAATCCAGCGCCCCCGCGAACACCAGGGCGGCAAACTCCCCCAGGCTGAATCCGGTGGCGGCGACGCATCTCTCGATGGCCTGGAAAACACGACAGCCCGGCGGCTCAGCTCAGCTCAGAGGCGCGTCTCCCGCACGGCGCGCGCGGTGAGCTTCCACCTCCAATCGTCCCCCGCTGAAAGGACGACTGGTGCTATAATGAGAAAATCCCTCCGTGCGTTTCCAACCACAGCATCACCATCAGATGAGACGTCACACGTGCACAGCCCACAGCTCTGTTCCAAACCGCGCAGAGCCGTCAGCCCAGGCGAACCGGCCTGGTCTCCCTCGAGCTCCCCTGAGCTCGGCTGGTGGAGCGGCCTCTCTCTCTCCTCCGCTGTGTAGCGAGGCTGCCGGTGCAGAAGGCCTCACAATTTGATCACCCTACTGTGTACGGAGGGCTCTGCGGTCCCTCGGGATGGAGGGCGCTATATAAAACGCAAGGAATTATTCAAAACAAGCTCACTTTGCCGGCTTGTAAGAAGAGCCGCATGGCTTGCCCTTTCTAAAATACACTTTGTG